AAATTTCTGAATATTCCGCGATATTTTTTTCTAGAATATACTTGCAGTCACATTACATTAAGTTGAAAGGAAATTTTCTGAAGGAAAAAGAAGCTTATAGAAGCCAATCTATGACGTGTCCTAACAAAAAACTTACTAAAAATGTGACACTTTATGATTGGAGAATCCGCTGGGAACTCGCCACGTAAATTCATCCAAGAGTACCACGTAAGTTACAAATTATAGAAACGAACGCGGAAAAAGCGAGAGCGAGAGAGAAAAAAAGAGAGAAAGAGAAAAGAGAAGTAAAATGAACTTCAACTACCGAAGGTGTCGTCGAGACGCAGCGCACTGTCCCACGGTGTTCCACCTTGCGAAATTACGAAACGCGATGGTAGGTCCGCGTGACGGGCCGACGGCGACGACGGCGACGAAGACGACGGAGGAAACGCGGCGCGCACTCCACCGCGATTTCGACTCACTGCTCGGAGCGCGACGTGTCCGCGCGACATGCACTCGCACTCGAACTATACGGTATATCCTCGCTGAGGTTCGTGACTCGCGTTGACGTGCGACGGGCACGATTTGCCCGTTGATGACGACGTGTCAACGGAAAGCGAGAGAGAGAGAGAGAGAGAGAGAGAGAGAGAGAGAGAGAGAGAGAAAGAGAGAAACCAGGCGGCGGGAGGGGATAGAGAGAGAAAGAGAAGAACGATGAAGGGAGAGACGAGGATAGAAAAAATGGGAGAGAAAAAAAATTCTGTTACGGCCGCCGAATATTTAGGTTAGCCGCGCAACAACGACGGCGGCGGTGGCGACGCTTATCCACAACGAAACTTTGCGACGAACTTCACGTTCCACTCGGAGTAAAACGCGCGACTCGTGTCACTGTCTCGCGCGCGCGCAAGCAACCAAGGGAGGAAAAGGAGGAAAAATGTGTGACGAGACGAGATATTAAAGGAACGTGCCGTTGCTGCTACTGACTGCTACTACGGCTGGCTACTTGCTGCTGCTGCCGTTTCTACTTGCGAATCGCTGCACGCGCGAGTTATCACGAGGCGTGGATGCACGGGACGCACGTCATTTTCCCCGGACAATGTGACGAACAACTTGCCAACCTGACCTCCGCTTCCGCGAGACTGACACTGCGAATCAGGCGAATCATCGCGCGAGCGTCAGTGCCGCCTAGCGGCGCGCTCCGTCAGCGACAGGCGCGCCGTCGTGCGCCGCGACGGATTGCGTTTCCCGCGCGAGTCTACGGCGGTCGATCGTTGACGATCAAATGGTCGTCGAGATGAACTCGCGATCATTTCCGGAACGTCCGGCATCGTGATGAATACGCTCGCGAGCGCGACATCTCGACAAACGGCGTCACGACGCCCATCTGTGACGACTAACGGCGACACGCGTCGCGGCGCGTCTCGCGAAAAGCGAGCATGTGGAGCGACGCCATTGGCTGAGCGACGCGTGACGCGTGCGTGGCTATTTTCAGGCTTCTGCTAGGCTATTTCCTTGGCGCGTATTTTAAGACGTCCGTCCGGTGACGGGACCGTCCGCGGTGTGTTTCCCATTACGTAACTACGATGTCGACGAGCGATGGGCCGCCGACTGTACGATTGTTGACCGACGACAATCTTGCCCTAATGAATTGTTAAGGACGTATCAAGGGGTCGAATATAAACCTTCAAACAAGGTGAAAATTGTAAAAGTGAGCAAATTTAGAATATTCGTAATTTCATTGATCAATGTCTGGTGAATTTGCTCATTTTTGTCATTTTTGTCTCATTTTAAAATACACAATCGATCGCCTGACGTATTGAATTTGAAAAAATGACTACCCTGATGGAAAAATTTGTCCAAATTTGTCCGAAATTATCCTAAATATTTCCGAAAATTGTTAAAATATACAAATTCGGATAGTTATAGATAAAATAAGATACTGTCCGTCAAATTTCATTAATGTCTGAATTTGTTAGAATTTGTCATTTTTTATATCTTTCAGACAAATTTTTACTCTTCAGACAAATTTTTTCCATCAGAATAGGTATTCATAATCAATTTTTATATTTAAAATTGTCTTAATTACAGTCTTAAGATGTCATAAGAGTCATACTAATATCTTAAGAGACTACTCAAGTATGTTTCAAAACAAGAATAGACTATGAATAACATAACATCTTAAAATTGAAAATTTGCACTTTCTACATAAAAAAATGTCATATGAAACAATTTAATAAAGTTATATTTAAGAGAATAATATATTTAAGGGTTATATGAAATAGTTCAATGAGATCAATACTTATATTTAATAATATCATTTTATAGTTTAAATAATGTTTTCTTATTTTATCTTAATTTTTTTGAAAAACATCTTCTTTTGAAATAATTTTTTATCATAGTTCTAAATTACGAGCAAAACTTTTTGTATTACTTTCTAATACAATATATAGGAAAATTGATTCTATTCTGTTAAATAAATGTGTGCAATACATTCTTAACTTCGCTAAAATGCCGTTTCGCGAAGCACGATCCTTCGTAAAAATCGTTGCTTTCCCTTATAGAAATTTAGTATTGGAAAGCAGTAATTAATTATTGAGTATTATTAAAAGCATTAAACGACAATGCTTTTAATACTCGAAATAATTAAAATTCAGCATTAAATTTGTCAGTATTAAATTGGATTTCTGTAAGAGTCACGATAAAAGATTTATTCGCGTAATTTGAAATCCTCAAAAATTTTTGCACTTAAAATAAGATAAATATGTATTCGACATTGAAAAGGGAGAAAATGAAGAATCTGAGTGCAAAAAGTGCAAACAACGCGAATGGACCTGAAGTTTCTGAAAATTCATTTTTTCATTAGTTTCTTTTTTTTTTCTTTTTTTTTTTTAATCTATTTCGAATTTCTTACGTATAGTGTGATCCAGCTGGTTTTTTACTTCATAATGAGAGGAATGGTTTGAATATCTCATTTCATCGAGAAACGAAATGTTAATACAATCCCAAGCGAACGCATTATTAATACCAACGTGACACACGATGAAGTTATTATTTATATCTGCGTGGCATAAACAAGTCCGGAGGCAAGCAACGTTCGCTGGAATGATGAATTGCGTCAGAAGTACAAGATGATAATACAAGGTCTACAATAGCAGTCATAAATTTTCAATCGTAAGAAATCGACCAGTCACAGTCGATTGTTTCGCCTCTCATTTGATTGTGATTGGTCAATTTCTTACGACTTAAGACTTACAACTCCTATTACAGCTCCTGCGTAACAAGAAAAGAAATGTATGAATGAGCCCTTCGAATTTATTATATTCCCTTCAATTGAATTTTTATGGTTGCCACAAAATTGGAAATTAGAGAAATATCAATGAAATTGTAAATAGTCAGAGAAATTAGAAAAAGATCAGGAAATTTTGAAAAATTTTCTGCAAAATTAATGGAAATTGTTTTGCTTTAAAGAAGTTTAATATGAATAGACTCTTGTCAGTTTTAAAATACTACCAACTTAAAAATTAAATGCAAGCAACGTCAACAATATAATTAATAGTAATCAGCAATAAATTAATAATGATTTACATGATTATGTTAAGTTGCTCTTTCGACAGAATATTTG